CGCGCTGCGCATCTACATGTCGGAGAACGCCATGGGCTCCACCATGGTGGCCGAGCACTTTGCCCACGGCGAGCGCGCCCTCTCCTATGCCCGTGAGTTCGCCGGGCACAAGAAGAAGGCCGGGTGAGCCAGACCGACAGACAGCCAGGGAGGGAAGGAGGCAGCCAGCCCACCCTCCCGCAGGGCTTCCGCTTCCTGCCCCCCAGGAGCCGGCTTGCCCGTGGAGGGATCTCTCTCTGGGGCCAGGGTAACCCTTGGGGCACAAGAGGGCGGCCGCCAGCACTGCCGGTGGGCCGCCCGCCCCGCGAATCTGGTGCCTGCTCACTCGCGGCCTCCCTCCCTCTTCTCCCTTAGGGGCATGCCGGTGGCCTGGCTGGAGAAGACCATGTGGAACCTGGGTCTGGAAGTGTACAAGCAGGACTTCTCCCGCACGCTGCCCTTCCCGGATGAGGCCCGAGAAAGATACGTACGTGCGCGTGGAGCCTGAGGAACTCCGGGGAGGGGGAAGCCCGGCCTGGAGCTGCCGGCCGGCCTGGCCTGGGGCTTCCGGGAGTCTCTCAGGGATCCCTTTCCTCTTTGCAGATGGTGAGGGGCACAAACGTGTACGGGATCCTGCGAGCGCCACGGGCGGCCAGCACGGAGTCCCTGGTGCTGAGCGTCCCTTGCGGGGAGGGGCAGCAGAACAACCAAGCCGTCGGGCTGATGTTGGCGCTGGCGTCCTATTTCCGAGGTGAGGTGTGAGCGTGAGACGCCTTTCCTTCTGCCTTGCGGCATTCGCTCTTCTTGTTGTTGTTTAAACGCTTTGAAGAGATGCAGCTCTATTTTTATTTGGAATAAGGGTGTGAGTAAGCTCTAGATGCCACAACTTGGAGAAAGCCACACGGATGAATTTCAAAAAACAGAAAGGTCCAAGGTCTCTTTCTTCCCCCAAAAGTTCTCGGGGCAAAGGGAATCTGGTCCTGTTGTTCACTTCCTCAGCATGCCAGGAGCGGGCCTGTCAAGGGCGCTTGGTGGCCCTGTGTGGTGCTGAGCTTGTTTCTCTGTCCCAGGTCAGATTTATTGGGCCAAAGACATCATCTTTTTGGTCAATGAGCATGACCTGATCGGCATGGAGGCCTGGCTGGAGGCTTATCACGACGTCAATGTGACAGGTGAGTCCAGGGGTGGCGGTCCGGTCACATCCGCTGGAGAGCTCCTTTGGCAAGGAGGGAAGGGCCTCTCCAGGACATTTTTCTGGTGGTTCGCCAACTTTGACTTCTTCCTCTTGGCCAAGAGCTTGGTCTGTCTTATGCGCACTGCCGCTTTGTGTCTTGACTCCAAGGGCATCATCTCAGAAGGAGTTTTGGCTCTTCTTGCCGCCATTCCGTCTCTCTCACCCACACACACACACATGCACCCAGCAGTGGTGCTGCAGACAAACAGATTTTGGGGGCTTGGGTATGTCCCATTCACATGGGCCCTTTGTCCCTCTCCAGAGGTGCACTCATCCGGGACGCTGGGCCGGGCAGGAGCGATCCAGGCCGCGATCTCCCTGGAGCTGAGCAGTGATGTCGTCACCAGCTTGGACGTGGCAGTGGAGGGCTTAAACGGACAGCTGCCCAACCTGGACCTGGTCAACCTTTTCTACTCCTTTTGCCAGAAGAACGGCCTGCTGTGCACCATTCAGGGAAAGGTGGGTGGAAGGGAAGGGCGAGGATTTGCGGGCCGCTGGCGGGGGGGCGTCTTGTGAGCAGCGAAGGAGCAAAAGGCCTCTGCCTTTCAGATGCCCAGAAGTCGAGGGCGGCTGAAGCTTCTGCCTCACAAGGGACCCCCGAAGGACATGCGATGCCCACGGCCTTCCCTGACCCTCCCCCAATTGATGGCTGCCCCGTTGAATTCACTTCCTGCGCAGCCCTTGCCTTCTTGGCTGCTTCTCAAGGGCCTCGAGTGGGGGAAGAGGTGGGAGTTAGGCTTGCGGGCCTGAATGTGTGAACCTGTGACGGCAAGATACATCGTCAGCAGGGTCAGACCCCCTGTCCGGCCAAGCCACTCTTCTCGGAGAGGAAAGGGCTCTGGAGCACTGGTACGACTGCCTCGGGTGGAGTCCGGAGCCTCCTGTGTGCTGAGCCCCTCCCAGGCTGTATCCTGACCGGCCCGGCCGTGGGTCCTCTCTGGGCCCCTTTCTCTCCTGCAGCTGCAGCGTTCCGAGTGGGACTCCCTGCCGGCCTACCTGCACTCCCTGCAGACGCTGCTGCTGATGGTGCTGAAGCAGGGCTCGGGCCGCCCACAGGGGGACCATGGCCTCTTCCTCCGCTATCACATCGAGGCCATCACCGTGCGTGGCATCAATAGCTTCCGCCAGTACAAGTTTGACATGGGCATGATGGGCATGTGAGTCGAGGGGCCGGCCCTTGGGCTGGTGGGCAGAGGCCGAAGGAGGGTAGGGCAGCTGGGAGGCCCGGGGGGCTGGATGGAGGGCTGCCGGGCAGAGGGGCACACGCCGGCGGCGGTCCATGGCTTAAGGGCCTTTCAGGCAGTGATCAGCCTTGGTGTCCAGGGAGCAGAGGAAGGCGGGCCTTGCAGAAGGTGGGGTGGGGTGGGGTGGGGGGTGCACATGGTGGTGTCCAGGTTCCTGCAGGGCAGGTGGCGAGGCCTCTTTTTCTGTCGTCCTTCAGAACCCTGGAGGGAATGTTCCGGAAGCTCAACAACCTGCTGGAGAGGCTGCACCAGTCCTACTTCTTCTACCTCCTCCCCTCGCTTTCCCACTTTGTCTCCATTGGGATCTACATGCCAGCTTTGGGCTTCCTCATCCTCATCTTGGTCCTCAAGATATCCTCCTCGCTGGGAGTGGGGCAGGGGAGGGAACTCGAGGGACATCAGGAGCCTTGACCTTTGAGGTCGTGCTGGGAGTGGGACAGGGGAAGGAACTCGAGGGACATCAGGACCCTTGACCCTTGAGGTCTGGTCCTGGAGGGGGGGGAAGAGGGAGTCAGGTTCCAGAAAACCTCCCCTCGAGCAGCCCCGTTGTGTGTCCCTGTGTGCGTATGTGTCAGGGGAAGACGTGGGGTAGGGAAAGCGGCGCCGTTCTCTGAGTGACCCTGATCAGCCCCAGCCCTGAAGGCCACGCCTGCCTTTTCGAGAGATCGCCTCTGACCATCACGTGTTAAAGAGTTTGACCAAAGAGTTCCAAAGGTTCCCAGGTAGCTGTTTTCTCAAGAAGAAAAGCTGTCTCTAGATGAATCCTTGGGCTGCGCTTGGTGGGAGGGAGAGAGGCCAGTCGGTCGCCTTGTGTGAGCAATTTCTGGCAGTCCTCCAGAGAATCCTGAGCCTGTGGCTGCTTTTGGGGCCTGCTCATGGCAGAGGGCGGTGCGCCCGTTTCCCTTTCGCTGTGCCAAGCTCCTCGGCTGGCGACCTGCAGGGGCCTTTTAGAGAGTTAAGGGGAAATTCAAGCAAAGGCAGTAGCCAGCTGCCTTTGCAGATCAGCCCACCCCTTCTCTGCTTCAGTGATGGGCGTGTTGTCCCGCATTGCGTCGGGCAGCCCTAATCAGATTTACTCCCACCCATCGCCTGCTGCCAAGGCACAGCGTGAGAGGTTTAGAGCAGGGCAGTCACTTGCACGGGAGGGCAGTTCTGTGTCCTGCATGTCGTCCTCCAGTCGTGGCTCACCTCGGTCGGGACTGAGGCCAAGAGGCCATCCCAAAACCAAGAAAATCAGGGAGCTGACCATGGGACAGATTGCATTAGTCTTCAGTGTGGAAGGGATGGTCCCTCCTGAATTGGCCTCCTCCTCAGCCGCACTAGACGTGGTTCCAAGTCCTCCATTCAGAGCACGTGACCCTAGTCTCTCGAGACTGAAGGAGGCCTACAGATTCCAGTCATGGGCCACCTCAGCTCAACATGGGCCCTACCTGAGCCCAGGAAATAGGGAAATTTCACTTCTGCCTTGCCCTGGGCCACGAGTTCTCTTTAAGCATCAGGCCCCCATCCTTCCCTGGTGGCTCCACTTCACTGTTTTACGGCGCTTGCTGGCACACCCGCTGCGTCAAGAGATCCATGGAGGACTCTTGAGTTTCAGGCTTTCCCCTTGAGTTCCCCTTGACTCCTTGCCCTCTGCCACGCCCTCGACCTATGGATGAAGCTCAGCCGATTCGACACGGACCTGGATGGCCGGTTATGTGATGGACACGAAGGGCCGAGTTCTGCAGCTGTGGAGGTAAATGGGGTGCAAAGGCAGTCCCGGGAAAGCTGAGGCTGGAGAATGGGGGGGGCGTGGAGGCAGGGCGCTTGCCTTGGTCTTTTCCCCCCAGCCGTTGCTCAAGGTCTCCCTTCCATTTGGGTCTCCTTTTCGGTCAACATGGCCATTCTGTGATTTTTTTTTCACCCCTTTTACTCTTAATTCTTCTAATCAATGGCACTGTTTGCAGTGGTGTGGTTGCTCCCAGAAAGGGCTGCCTGTGGGAAATCACCTAGCAGGAAAATGGGAGACAACTCGGACCTGACAGACGGAGGCTCTTCCAGTCCAGCCATGGGATCTTAGAGACCGGACCGGGTGGGCTGGCCTTTGGGAGTGATGGGTTGCCTAGCCTGGCTGGCCAGCCTAGCCTTGGGCCAAGATTCCCTCGTGTTCTTTCCATGCTCAAGGCAAGGGTTCTCCTCTGAGAGAACGGTGCTGGCTGCAGCTGGATGCTACCAGATGTCCTCAAATCCAGTTTGAGGGGTAAAAAAGGAAGGTGCCCTTTGTGTGAGAAGGGCTGAGCTTCCTTCCTTTTTCTGCTTTTGAGTGGGGTGTGGGGCAGCCTAGGAGCCCCACCCTCCTTTGTCATCCAGACAGCAGGTCCCCCCTGGGTGCTTTGGGGCTGAACTTTGCTCCTCTCCCACACGGCTCCCCCCCTTCCCCCTCTTGTCTTCTCTTTGGACCAGGAGCCCAGGCCCAGCCTGCTGACCCTTGTGCCCCCGCTGCTGATCTGCCATGCCACCGGGCTCGCCCTCTACTTCGTGCCCATCCTGGGGCAGCACGTGGCCACCCAGCACTTCCCGGTCTCCGAGTCGGAGGCAGTGGTGCTCACCGTCATTGCGATCTATGTGGCAGGCCTCGCTTTGCCCCACAATACACACAGGTGACAAGGGGTGGCCCATAGGGAGGAGGGCCCGGTGCTTTTCCTTTGCACAAGATGATGGCAGGCCGTGGCCTGTGACTTGGCCACCCTCAGACTTATCTTCGTCCCCTGCAGGGTCTTGACGGGCTCCGGAAGTGATCACGGTTGGATGACGGTGAAGCTCCTGGCCCTGCTCTACCTGGCGATGCAGCTGGGCTGCATGGCCCTCATCAACTTCTCCCTGGGCTTCGTGCTGGCGGTCACTCTGGTGCCGGTGGCTGCTGTCGTCCAACCCACAGGGCCCAAGTAGGTATGGGAGGGGGCAGCCTCTGCTCTCCCTCCCTCCCTCCCTGTCTCCCAGTGGTGAAGGGATACAGGGACACACAGGCTGTGGGCTAGGCTCTGCTTGGTGGGTCAACTGACTTTAGCAGCTGATGGCGTTTCCTGTCCTGCCCATGGACGAGAGTCCTTTGGGCAGTTTCCTGTTTCGCAAAACCTAATGGGAACATCTGCAACTGCTGAAACGGAGCCCAACCCGGTGGCCGGTTTTCTCCTGCCTTCTGACCCCTGTCACTGACTGGCGACTCTCTCAAAGAGGCTGGGCTTCCAGAGCTGGGGCTTGGGAGAGAGATCCCTGCTTCCCCCTCCAGGGCCGGTTCACCGCCTGCTGCACTGGGCGCGAGCGAAGGCTGTTGTAAACGGGCCGCCCTGTTGCCTTCCTCCGGTGTTGGCTTGAAAGGAAAGGGACCACAGGCTTTGGGATGTGAATACATCTGGGTCTCCCTTGCATAAATTTGACAGTGCGTGTGGGGTGCCCCAGTGCTGCTTGCTTCTGGTGCCGCCATCACCCCCGTGCCCAGTTTTTTATCCACACACCCTCCTTCCCAACAATCAGCCAAATTTCCCTAGCAGCTGAATGTGCTTCATCTTCCCTGACCTGGAGGCCTTTCTCTGAAGTTTTTTTTAATGATTTCCCCCCTAACTTTCTTGAATGTCTGCAAAACCTGAGGTTCTCAGGACCTGTCCTTGCAACCCTGGCAAGTATTTCACTTCACATGTTGCAAAAGCGGGAGGTGGTTTTGCTCTTCTTGCTGCAGAAACAACAGCGCTCACAGCCGGCACACCAGAAACGGAGGGAATGGTGCTTTGCAGAGAAGGTTTTGCAAAAGTGGCCCTTTCCACATCTTCGTTATTTAAAATCAACGACAGCAGAGGGGACATTTTGGCTATTTCCTCTTTATGGCAGTGTTTGGAAAACTACTAGGGAGACCTTTGAGGGGAAGTTTCTTACCAGGTTCCTAATTTCTTTTTAAAAAATCTCTCTCCCCCCCCCCCCCCCGCAGTCTCTTGTTCGTTGCATCAGGTGGTTAGGTGTGGCTTGGGGGGGGGTCAGCCTGCAAGCACCAGCCTTTTCCCCACAGTGAAGGGGAACGGGGTGCCAGACCCTCTTCTTCAAGTGGCCTGAAAGGGCCTGCCTCCTCCCCGCAGGTATCTCTACGCTGTCCTGCTGGTGCTCGTCACGCCGGCTGCCACGCTGCTCTTCTGTCTCTTCCTGTACCACGAGCTCATCGAATACCCCATCACAGCCCTGGAGGGCTGGCAGCGCTTCCTGCAGGCGATCGCTGAGGGGCTGCTGGATCATCATCTCTACGGCTCAGTCGTCTTCCCCTTCATTGCTTTCTTCGTCTATCCTTGCTGGCTGCTGCTGTGGAACGTGCTCTTCTGGAAGTAGTTCCTCCGGAGTGCCCTTGGCCGCCCAGGCCTGCCGTGCCACCCCTGTTACAAGAGGCGCGCACTCTGCTGCAGCTGGCGCCCCGGGAGTGTCTGAAGAGCGAGACTCCTGGGGGTGTGTGTGTGGAAAGGGCCAGGAAAGCGGGCATTTGGAACCCAGGTGGTGGGGCTGTTGCCTGGGGCTTTCTCCATCAGGAGTGGGATTCCACCCCCAGGGCAGGAGTTGACACGACTCCTCGCTTGAGGAGATGCGAGAGAGGCAGCTGCTCGTGCCTTGCAGGAGGAGAGGATGGGACGTGGAAGTGGCTGGCATCTCTCCCTCCCTCCCTCCCTCTCTCCCGCTTCTTCAGCAGAGCCCAAAGGTTTTCCTGTAATTCCTACCACGTAAGGAAGGCCCAGTTTGGATTCTCCTGTGAAGGAGGAGCATATGGTCTCAGCAAGTTCAGTTGTTTTGGGTGGGTGGGGGGTTGCAGCATGCAAATGATCTGGCAGACACCTCGCAGGCTTTGACATTAACGAGCCTAAATCATGCCCTGGGGATGGGGCTAAATGGGAAAGTGTTCCAGCAAGGGAGCGGATGCCCCTCGGATGCTGTCGAGAGAAAGGCTATGTACAATCTTGGAGAAATAAAAGAGATGGCTTTGTTATGAAGGGGTGGTGTTTATTTTTACCCAGCGTACATGATAGGATGATAGCTGTTCTCTACTCTTATCCCAGATGCCCACTGCGGTGTAGTTCATGAAGCGGCAGAGGGACTCAGAAGGCCTGTGTTCCAGTTCTGGCACGGCCACGGAAACTCACTGGGGGGAGAAGGGAGTTGAAATGGATAAATGCACTCTTCAAATCTCTCACCTTGAAAGCTCTGTCAGGGTTGCGGTACATTGGTGTATTTATATATTTATTTAAAATACTTTTATCCTGCTTTTATCCTTAAAAGGACTCAAGGTTATAATAACTAGAGAAAAGAAGACAACGGTGGAACGACTAGCTAAAAGGAAGGAAATAGAAGGGACTCCTATGGAAAAGGTCCAGAGGGGTTTAATATATTTAAATAGGGAATATTTTAAATTTAGTGATTAAAAACTCAAAGGTTTTTGGCTAAAGCATCCCAGTTAAAAAAAAAGTAAGAGCAATATAGGAGTTATAAAAAATCAGAAGCTTTTTAACAATTTTAAAAATATTTACATACAAGTGAGAATCCTTCCATAGAAAACACTGAAGAATATATGAAATGGAATTTTAAGAAAGTATTAATAGATACATGCAAGTAAGTAATGGAGAGAACAACTACTAAGGAAGAGATGGAAGTTACTATAAATAAGTTAAAGGTAGGGAAGACACTAGGCACAGAGATTAGACCCAGAGTATTACAAAACTTACAAAAAAATTATCCCAAAGGACCTATATAATGGTATATTAAATGGAGAAAAATCCCACAGTCCTAGAAGGAATCTCTAATCGTTCTAAATTTAAAACCTGGCAAAAACCTTATAAACATGGACTCCTATAGGCCAATTTCATTGATAAATCAAGATGCTAAAATATCCATGGCAATTTTGGCAGCAAGATTAAATTGCTTCATTGGGAAATATATTGAGAAAGATCAAAATGGATTCTTACAAGGTAGACAGCTGTCAGGTATAATGAGAAAGGTGCTTAATTTAATGCGCCTGGAGAAAGAATCAAAATGTATAGCAGGAGTGGAATCCCTAGATACTGTATTTTCAAAGCTTTTGATTCAGTTGAATGGGATGCATTAACCCTTTGATTAAACAGACAGGATTTGCCACTCAGTTTAGACAAATAATCCGACAACTATACTCGCAGCAGAACTCTGCGAAAATAATAAACAATGGTATGACTGAATCAATATTCCTAGACCAAGGAATGAGATCAGGTTGCCCCTTCTATTCACATTGATAATAGAGGAGCTAGCACAAGTAATCAGAAACGATTGTTTAATTAAATACTGGTTTAAAAGTATGCGAAAAGGTTCGTTATTTCCCTCAGGCGACCCCTCCATGGCGGCACAAAATGACAACGGACGCGTCTTTTTGCATTTAACATCAGAACTTTTACTTTCTTTGACATCCACCTGCACTTCTTCAAATGATAACAACGGTTCCAACACCGGCAACTGGCCGTTAACATTAATGTTCAAACTGTGATTAACGTCCCATTGAGTCAGTGGGGTGGCCCTCCATGGGGCTCCTTGGGCGCCAACTAAGGATTCGGGAGACTCTTCACTGCGCAGATTGTCCCTGCACTTCTTCAAATGATAACAACGGTTCCAACACCGGCAACTGGCCGTTAACATTAATGTTCAAACTGTGATTAACGTCCCATTGAGTCAGTGGGGTGGCCCTCCATGGGGCTCCTTGGGCGCCAACTAAGGATTCGGGAGACTCTTCACTGCGCAGATTGTCCCACAGCATCGATGACGGATCCATCCTCCCACATCTGGACCTTCAGGCAGGGATGTTGTGGCGCTCTCCCTAGCTCTTATTAACTCAACCTCCCTTGGGGCCACAATCACGTCCCACTCTCGGACAGTTATTTGGTGGGGTATCCCTTGAGGATCAGGAGGATTCGGCAGTAAACCGCCTACTTTTAGATTCGGAAAGTCACCAACCCTTGAAATCTGACTTTCTCGAATGCTCTCCTTCTTTCCTCTTTTTTCCTTTCTTCATATGCCTTCACAACCGAACTGAACCACACAACTCCCTCTTCATCCTTATACTCCTCCCCAACCGTCACTTCTGACTCCTCCCACTCCCCTTCAGCCAAACATACCTCCACCTTCCCTTCCCCCTTTCCTTCTATTAACTCTTTCTTGTCCTCTTCGCCACTTTCACTGTTACTGCACTCCCAAGCCAACTACACCAGAGCACAGGTTGCTGTCCTCTGAAAATGCCGGCCACAGAGACTGGCGAAACGTTAGGAGGAACAACCTTCAGACAACACGGCCAAAGAGCCCGAAAAACCCAGAACAGCCATTAGATCCCGGCCGTGAAAACCTTCGTGAATGTAATTAAATACTTAGGAATTTATATTATATGGAATTTATAAAATATGGATAAAATGAAGAAAAATTAATGGACCGATAAATCGGTATCAAAAATTTAAATTGTTTTGATTTGTTAGAATAGCTTTATGTAAAATGAAGATTATCCCTAAACTTAACTTTGTATTCTGGATGCTCCCAATAAATATCAGAGAAATATACTTGAAAGACTAGCAGAGGTTAATAAGTAAATAATTATTGCAATGGAAATAAGTGAAGGGGGGGGCGTGGCCTGGAACAACATAGAGAAAGGTTAAACTGAGAGATGCTGCATTGATGAAAAAGAAGGCAGAAAAAAAAGACAGTCCGATGACTCATAGAGAAGTAAAACTTTATGTGGATATGAAGTATAATTACCCGGGGTCAGTGGGAGAGAAGCAAATGTGTAAAGAAAAAAACATGAAAGCCCAGAGCAATTATTGGAAGAAGGGGAGGGGGGGAGCTTTGGTAACAAAGTGGAAGGAGAAGAAAGAGGAGAGAAAAACACCCACCTCAGTCCCCTGATGACTGACTGTGAAGCTGAAAGAGAAACGTTCCATGTTCTTTTTTATAAGGACTGTTTTAAGCTCAGGAAGCTCAAGAGGAATGTAACCAATTACTTTTAAAACCTCCAACTGAAACCTGGGGGAAGAAAAAAAAGTTTTGGACTAAAATACTGACCAGATGTTTAGATGAGCTGCCTGTAATAATGGATTGCTGCCTATTCTCAGAGTTTAAAATAAATAAATATAAGAAACTGACTGTGACGGAAAAATGAAACAAAGAAACAAAACAATTCTTTTGACATGTGTAATAAAGCTATAGGGGACGTGGTGGTGCCACGGGTTAAGCCTCTGAAGCTTCTGTGCTGCAGGGTCAGAAGACCAGCCGTCATAAGATCGAATCCACGGGACAGAGGGAGCTCCCGTCGCTTGTCCCAGCTCCTGCCAACCTAGTGGTTCAAAAGCATGCAAAATGCAAAAATGCAAGTAGTTAAATAGGTACCACCACCGTGGGAAGGTAAACGGCGTTCTGCATCTAGTCGCACTGGCCACGTGACCACGGAAGATTGTCTTCGGACAAAACGCTGACTCTACGGCTTGGAGACGGGGATAAGCACTGCCCCCTAGAGTCGGACACGACTGGACAAAAATTGTCAAGGGGAACCTTTACCTTAATAAAGCTATGCAGGACTATTAAACCAGTCTTGAGCTCCATCTGCTGGGAATTTGTATAATTATGTCCAGATTCATTGCAATTGGTTTTTTTTCTCCTTTGGATTAAATTACTGTTGGAGACTCTTTCAAAAATAAATGGGACTGTATACAAGCTTGGATAAAAGAAGGTATTATTGAGACAAGGAAGGTCAAGACAAAAGGAAAGCAGAGTTGCTGTGAGAGAAAGTAGAGTGGGTTGGAGAAGAGAAAACTCTGAATCAGGCTCAGCATCCAGATCGGGATGCAAAAACAAACCTTCTGACCATAATTTTAAAAGGCTACCTGAGGCCTGAGGCTACAACAGAAAAAAAAACAAGAAGGAAGAACCAGGCCTGAACCAGAAAATATTTCCACCAGGGTTCCACGTATTAAAGAGGGTGTTAAAGCAACGGATCAAAGAATACCGAACCTTGACAAGAAAATGGATATAATGCCAGAAAATTTCAAAAACATGCAAGAGGATTATTTTAACAAAAAATTAAAGGATAATCTGGAGTCTCATATGAAAAACCTGGATGAACAATTGGTGGGGGCGAAAGCATTCGCGAAAAGAAAGTTCTCCAGGCTCTTGGATCAAGAAAGAGATATTGTTGGCCTGAAGTCTCAGATGATAACGCAACAGGATTTGTCACGAAGGTCAAACATAAGAATTAAAGGCTTGGCGGAAGGTGCTCAACGGGAAAAGGAGTGATCGAAAACAATATTAGAAAGGTTAAATAAAATAACTCCTGAGCGGGACTGGACAGTGTCTGATACTGAATGTGCCCATCATGCGTCAAGAAAAGTCAGAGGACAACCACGTCACCGGTTGATAAAGTTTGCCAACTACAGGAAAAAAAGAGATGAGAGAAAAACCAGAATATCTTAAAATCAAAAATGATATCATGATTTTCAATGACTATTGCCATGAAACAATGGCATATAGAAGAAAAATGAGAGTTATCACAGTCATCCTGATTGCAAAGGATATTAAATACAGTAGTACATGGATATGAAGGTCCAGTCCGCATGAAAATGTATCACAATGGGAAATACTATACAGTAGTGTCACATTGGAGAGATCGGCTTTAGATTTTATTTTATTTTATTTTTTTGAAGAATGTTGGACTTATAACTAAAGAAGAACGGGGAGAACAAATTTCCAAACTGGACAGCCAAGAAGAGCAAGAGCAAGAAGACGAGGCAGCAAAAGAAGGACAGGTGGCCGGAATGGAAACAGGGAGTGGAGGCAAAGCAAAACAGAAGGCAAAATAATAATAATTTTTTTAAAAAAAAAACACGATCAAATGGGGAGGTTTGGGAAAGGGTAAAAAATGTAGTATAACGGGGTGGAACCCAGAAGAAAGGGGGAAAGAGGTGATCCAAGGGAAGGCCTGGGAAATATTAGAACAAGGACGAATACTGTAAGGGGAAAACCAGAAAAAGGA